CTCCACCACCTACCAGCAGGGAGCCTTTCACAAGCTTCTTCTTTCTTAGCCTCTATTTTCTTTTTATTTATTTATTTATTAAACTAGAGGCCTGATGCAGGAAGATTTGTGCAAGGAAGGGCCTTCCTTACCCTGGCTGCCAGCACCACCTTTGCTCAGTAGCATCATCCTATATACCAAGGTTGAGGGTTCAATTTCTAGTCAGGACACATATAAAAAGCAACCAATGAATGCATGAGTAGGTGGAGCAACAAATTGATGTTCTCTCTCTCTCAAATAAATAAATAGGAAAAGAAAATGTTTCCCCAACACTTGCTCTGAGCTTCTATGTTCTGGGCTTGGTGACTGAGGTTAGAGAAGCATAAGCCCCGAGTCACCAAGTGGCTGAGCCCAGATTTTGGAAGCCAATAGTTATGTAGAGGCTGGTTCAGGGGGTGGAAAATGACTGTCTGCAGGGGTGGGGTCAGAGAAAACTTCCAGGAGGAGGGCCCTGAAGGATAACTAGAAGCTTGCAAGATAGTTTTGGAAAAAGTCACAGGGTCCAGCATCAGCACAGCCTAGAAATGCTGTGTGTCCTGGGGCAGTAAGTACACTGGGAAACCAGGAAATTGAGGAGAGAAGAAAGGCAGATAGTGAACACCAACATGGGCTTCTAAAAGAGCATGTTTGAGAAAAAGAACACTTGAAAGTGGAAGCTGGAGTCCTTGTGGCTCTGGCTTAGGCAACATGGTCAGGTTAGCATGGAGGGCCATATGGCTTCAGATGTGGCCAGGTGTTTCTTGATCTTAAGCTGAAGCCTGATCCAGTTCTGGGGAGTCCCCTGGGTGTGTGTGGTGGAAGGGAGTGGAGAAGGAAACAGCTCATGGACCCACCAGAAGGGATGACTGTGCAAGTCATCAGCATTTGGGAATGATTACCAAAGGCCTTCGGTCTCTCCTAAAAACTGGCTGTTCAGTCAGAAAGCAGATGCTGCTCGTGTACAGTGTACAGTGGGGATGAAGAACTCCCACCCAGGTGTTGGGTTAGGAGTTTGGCTTTGAATAAGTGACTCTTCCTCTCTGAAATATAGGGATAGTAATAGTGCCCGTCTCAGGGTTAAATCAGAGGGTGTCTTAGAAAGTAGCTGGCACAGAGGAGGAGAAGCCCCAATCCTGGCAAATCCCAAGGCCACGCCCTGGTCAGTGTGTCTCCAAAGTCAGGATCCATTTCTTCTGGACACTGCTGGAGTGAGCTTTCTACTGCATAGATGCAAGCCTGAACTTGCTCCCTGACTTTTCATGGCTCCCTACTGTCCTCCAGATAAAGCCTAAATTCTTTATTTGACCAACAAGGCTCTGCACGAACACGCTCCCATGGCCTCCCCCATCCTTGCCTGAGGCCTCCTACTAACCTCTCAGTCCCCCCCTCACCCCATTAGCTTCTGGCCACACTGAGCTTTCTTCTCAGTGCTCAGCTCTCTGCTGTATTATTACTTATCTGTTCTCACAAGGCTGTGAGGGGGAGCTCAATAAGTATCTACTGATTTAATGAAGTGGTGGGGGGCAGTTCTAAGAAAAAAGGGTGGCTGCTGTGGCTCAATCCCCTGCATTGAAAGGTCTCAGGTTTAATTCTTGGTCAGGGCACATGCCTGGGTTGCAGATTCCATCCCCATTAGAGGTGCATATGGTAGGCAACTGATCAATGTCTCTCTATCACGTAGATGCTTCTCTATCATGTCAATGTTTCTATCTTTTTCTTTCCCTCTACCTTCCGCTCTCTCTAAAATCAATGAAAGCATACCCTTGGGTAAGGATTAAAAAATAAATAAGTAAAGCAGTCACTGTACACTGGCCACATTTCTTTCTTTTTTTTTTAAACTATATATTTTATTGATTTTTTACAGAGAGAAAGGGAGAGAGCTAGAGAGCTAGAAATGTCAATGAGAGAGAAACATCGACCAGCTGCCTCTTGCACACCCCCGACTGGGGATGTGTCCACAACCAACATACATGCCATTGACCAGAATCGAACCTGGGACCCTTCAGTCTGCAGACCGACGCTCTACCGCTGAGCCAAACCGGTTTCGGCTAGCCACATTTCTTGACAGGTATCTATGTCAGCAGGGTAGAAATTCTCAGTAATCATAATTTAAAGATGAGGTAACTGAGGCTAAGTTAATCTCATTTTGCCTGTCTGGCCCTAGCACACATAACACTGCCAATCTGACTTTGCACATAGGAACCTTCTTCAGGGTACCTCATTGTCTTCAACAGAAGGAGCAATTGGGGGGGGAGGGGAAGACAGTGCCCCCTCACCACTCTGATTCCCTTTGAGAAAGCCTGCTTGCTGTCTTGGAAGGGCTTGTATCCCAGCATTTACTGTGTGATCAGGTCTTGTAGTGTGCCTTCACCACTGGGCGGAGGGCCTTGCAGAGCAGGAGGCTTAGGGGCAACTTGAATTCCAAGCCTGTTCTGGTGAAGATGGGGAAGGCTGAAGGATGGAGGCCCAGAACATCGGCAAAAGCCGCTTTCCCAGGTGTGCTCAGGGTTAAGATATAAGGGCTGTGGGTGATCCGCTCCACACACAATAATTATGTACATCTACTAAGCTCTGGGAGCAGTGGCAGTCACGTGGCTCTCGAGGGCGGTGCTCAGCTTTTTAGATGGAGTTCATTGTAATCCCTGAAGGCTTTCTGGAGGAGGTGGGACTTTTTGCGGTGGCTGATCGTGGTTCTTTCCGAACAGTGAGGATGCACTTAGCACTCTAAGGAACCAGCTAGATCCCTAGGTGAGCTTTTTTTTTGCTGGGGAGCAAGCCCAGGGCGTTGGACCGGGTTGGGGTAAGGACCTGGGGAGCTGAACTTGCGAGGTCAACCTAGGCTTGGGTTTCCCGACCTGCCCTTGTGCTTTCATGGATGACCGAACGAACCGCGGCCGTGCTAGGTAGGCCGGTGCTGTGGGGCCGCGCAAGCTGGGTGCAGGCCTCGAAGTCCGGAGCGCCAGAGAGCAGAGCGCCCCGGACCGGGGGGTCAGGCCAGCAGGCTTGTCCGGGCCATCCCCGCGGCCCCCCCTCCCAGCGCTGGCCCACCGGGGGCTCCGGGTGCCCGGCCCGCAGGGGCAAGGCGCGCACTCCTCGGGGGGCCGGGCTGCGGAGCAGGCGGCCCAGCGCGTCTCCGGTGGCACGAGAGGGCCATCTGCCTGGGTGCCGAGAACTGCAGTGTCCGCGGTGCAAGGCGCGGTCCCTCCGGGGGCCCCCGGCATTGTCCCCCGTCCCGCGCGCACGCCCCGACCGACGCTGCCCGCACCCGCGGTCCGAGTCGCTGTGCCAGGCCCAGACCCAGACCGGGCGCGGGAGGGAGGCGGTGCAGGGATTAGCGGACCCCTCCCCCCGCGCTCCCCTCGCCCCGCCCGAGGCAGCGAGGACCCCTGGGCCAGGGGGTGGCGAGGGAGCCTCGTGCTGGCAGTGCCCGAGCGGGGGACTCGGCCTCACTGGGCGGGGGCCGCTCCGCGAGGTGCGGGCGCGCTGTCAGGCTGCTGCCCGGCTCGGGTGCGAGGGGTGGGCTCAGCGCGGGGGTCGCACGGCCGCATCTCTCAGCCGAGGCCGCGGCTGGGCGGGCAGTGCCCAGGCGGGTAACCCGACCCGACCCGGCTGCTGGTAGCCGCTCACCCCTCAAGGCCGGGCGAGGGGGAGGGAGAGGCCTGGGGGAGGGGAGGGGAGGGGTGGTGGGTGAGGGGCTGTGGGTCCCGCAGGGCCGAGTCCCCGGCCTGTCTGCGTGGCTGCGCGGCGGCTGCCTGCGGCGCCCGGGACGAACCGGCCCCCCGCCTCACGGGCGTCGGGCCTGCGGCAGGAGGGAGCCTGGGCTGCACAGGCTTGGCTCGGGGAGGCAGACCCGAGCTGCTGCCTCCATTTTGTTTCCTGCTCAGCTTGGTCTGTGGTGGTGGTGGTGTGGGTTTGGGGTGCGGCCGGGCACGGGGATCACTTGCGGCCGCGCCTGTTCGGGGCCCGAGGCCTCGAAGACCCCAGCCCGAGCCCCCAGGTGAGCCCCGCGATAGGAGGGGGGGCTGTTGCCTTGGCCTCGGGCCGAGCCGAGCGGGCTGAGGGCAGGTGCCCAGTGGATGGGGAGCCCGGGCGATAACCTAAGATGGAGGCCGGGACTGACGCGGGCCCGAGCAGGGCTGGCGGGGCGGTAAGACGGGCCTCAACCGGGCCATCAGCCAGTAGCCGCCCGGGTCGGGGCTGGGGACCGGCGGGGTGCGGGAGTCGTGTGCAGCCCGGGGCCAGCTCGGCGCCCTGAGGAGGTAGGTGCGGGGCGCAGGGTACCACCCACGACGCCCGTAGGCCCGGACTCTCCAGGGAGGCGCGCGAGGCTCCCAGGGAGCCCACCTCAGGCCCCGCCCGGGCTGCGGGCCGGCCCGTAGGCCCCGGCTGCGAGCGGGCGCTCCGGGGGAGGGGAGGGGGCTGCGGCGGCGGCCCCGCTGATTGGACGGCGGGCTCCCGAGCCCGACTTCACCCGCCCTGAACCCCGAAGAGTGAGGCGCGGGGGCGCGCGCGCGCGGTGGGGGCTGGGGGGCGCGCGCACTCGGGGCCCCGGCCGCACGCGGGCGGGCGCGAGGCGCTGGGTCGCACGCGCAGCCGCGGGGGCGCGCGCGGTGGGGGTGTGAGGCGGAGGAGGAGGAGGTGGCGGCGGACTAGGCCGGGGCAGGTCGCGCTCGCTGCCTTCTTCCCTGAAGAGAGACGCGGGGGGAGGGGGGGTGCGGCGCGCGGCTCCGCTCTCTCCCCCACCGCTCCGCTTGCGCCCCAGTGTAATGAGGGTCACCCCCTCCCCCCAGCCGGCCCGGGAGGGGGCCCGGGGCACGGTAACTAGTGCACTGGGGTGGGCGGCGGGCAGGCGTGAGGAGGGAGGAGACGGCCGGGCGGGGAAGATGGTGGTGGCGGCGGTGGTGGCGGTGAGGTGAGGGGCGCCGGGGAGGGCCGGGCGCGGCGCGGGGCTGGCGGCCGGCGGCTCTGCAGCCGCGGGCCCCTTCCTCCGCCCTCACTCCCAGCCGGGCTCAGGCCTAGCCGGCCGGCCTGCCGCGAACTTCCTCCCGGCACGGCCCGTGCTCCGCCGGCCTCCCGCGCGCACCTCGGCCTCTGCCTCCCCTCCGGGAGGCGGCTGGGGGGCGCCGGGCCCGCCGCCCTCCCGCAGTAAACTTTGCTTTTGCTGCTGAATATTGATGAGCGCGATCGGCTCGGCCCGGAGGGGCTGCGGCGGCTGCGGAAAGGAGCGCGGCCTGGGCAGGCGGCGGCGGCGGCGGCGTCGGCAGCAGCCATGTTTGTCAAGCTGTAGCAGCAGCTGCTGCTGCCCTGACTTGGCTTCGCCGGCTGCCTCCGTTTCTCCCCCTGCGGCGTCCCAGGCTCTGGGGCCTGCGGCCGTGGACCGAGCTGGCCTGCAGTCAGGAAGGCGAGCTTCGGGGTGCACCCACCCGCTTGGGCCGCCTGGCCTGCGGCCCGTGAACAGCCGGAGCAAAGAGGCTCCGGCGCCGGCTGGGCGCAGGGTGCAGCGCTATTGTGACCGCTGAGCAGAGGGAGCCAGGAAGGGGGGGGGGTTCTTTTTGTGCAGCGTTTGGGACCCCCCTCTCTAACCTCGTATCCCCTTTCCTTCCGGAGATCCGACCGCTAAGGTCCTCAGCGAGGGAGGGAGGGAGGAGAGGATTCCTATTTTGAGATTTTTGGGAATTTCTACTGCCAAATGGTTTTGAATTTTAGTTCAGCCTTACTGTCCACCAGTCTGCAGTGCAGGGAACAGGGACGGGCTGTTTCCATGTGGCAAGATCTGCCCAGCTCCGGGAAGATGGAGTTTAGGGAGGCTCACCGAGGCCATTTTTCTATCATCAGCTGGGGAACTTTTCTGCCCTTGGAAGTGCAGCAGAAAGACATCGAGGCCACTGGGCCTTAAGAAGTGGCTGCCATTTTGAAGATAAGTCTTATGACTTGTTAACTTGGATTAATTGCTGTGTTTTTTGGATTCCAGGTTGATGCTGGCGCAGGATGGATCAGACCTCTGAACTACCCAGAAGAAATTGTCTGCTGTCTTTTTCCAATCCAGTTAATTTAGATGCCCCTGAAGACAAGGACAGCCCTTTCGGTAATGGTCAATCCAATTTTTCTGAGCCACTTAATGGGTGTACTATGCAGTTATCGACTGCCAGTGGAACATCCCAAAATGCTTATGGACAAGATTCTCCATCTTGTTACATTCCACTGCGGAAACTACAGGATTTGGCCTCCATGATCAATGTAGAATATTTAAATGGGTCTGCTGATGGATCAGAATCCTTTCAAGACCCTGAAAAAAGTGATTCAAGAGCTCAGTCGCCAATTGTTTGCACTTCCTTGAGTCCTGGTGGTCCAACAGCACTTGCTATGAAACAGGAACCCTCTTGTAATAACTCCCCTGAACTCCAGGTAAACGTAACAAAGACTGTCAAGAATGGCTTTCTGCACTTTGAGAATTTTACTTGTGTGGACGATGCAGATGTAGATTCTGAAATGGACCCAGAACAGCCAGTCACAGAGGATGAGAGTATAGAGGAGATCTTTGAGGAGACTCAGACCAATGCCACCTGCAATTATGAGCCTAAACCAGAGAATGGTGTAGACGTGGCCATGGGAAAGGAACAAGACAGCACACCAGAGAGTAGACATGGTGCAGTCAAATCGCCATTCTTGCCATTAGCTCCTCAAACTGAAACACAGAAAAATAAGCAAAGAAATGAAGTGGACGGCAGCAATGAAAAAACAGCCCTTCTCCCAGCCCCCTTTTCACTAGGAGATACAAACGTTACCATAGAAGAGCAATTAAACTCAGTAAATTTATCTTTTCAGGATGATCCAGACTCCAGTACCAGTACATTAGGAAACATGCTAGAATTACCTGGAACTTCATCATCATCTACTTCCCAGGAGTTACCATTTGTAAGCAGTTTTTGGTACAACTTAAATATATACACTAATGTATATATACAGGCAACTTAGATGGAAACATAGCTTATTGGTTTTTGGTTACTTATTTCACAGCTTAAAGCCTGTTGCCAATGGTAAACTTTTTGGGGAAATATTACTTTGATTTTAAAATTTATCTCTATTGTAGGAGTTTGGTTCTTTCTAGATTTTCCCAATTAGGACAAGTTAAACTTTTAAAGGCATTTTATTTAGTTCAGATCTAATTTTTCAAGGTGGAGGTCTACATTTGTTTAGCTTTTTTGTTTTGTTTTGGCTTGCTGGTGTTATGAATTATAGGAGAACCAATTAATTACAGTACCCGGTGTCCTGTTTTAACGTAATACATGGCTTATTTTCTTAGTTAATGGGGTGACTCTTGCTGACTGTTGAAGTGCATTTTGTGTACAGATTGAAAGTAGCTAAGATGAGTTGAAGTTCTTGGATCAGTCCAGTTTTACCCCTAACACATGTCTCTGAAATATACTGTGTCAAGATTTAACTGGAATTTTATGGTATGTGATAATTGTTTTGAGTGTATTAAGTAATTTACTATACCATGTAGCCCTGCTGTTCTTTAAAGTTACAAAAGGAGATGTGGGTGTGTCACTTTTGTTTCTATTGATTCATATGTATCTTAAATATACTTTGGTACTTCTTGATTTCTTAGCTTGGTACTTATAGATTTAATAATTTTGTTTTTGGTAGTTACCTTGAGTCTGTATTGTTCTGGATAATTTTTAGCATCCATAAGCTATGTTGGCAACCTGTTGGCAGCTCAGACAAATCCTTTTTCTTGGGTTCACATACATTTATATATATATGTGTGTGTGTGTGTAAATACACACGCACACACATATAAACACATACATACACACATATACAAATACATACATACAGGGTGGGCCAAAAATAGTTTTACAGTGTGAGTACAAGTAACACGGTTTATTTTTGTATTGTTACTACTACTTTCTATAGTTTTGCTTTTGTATTTACATAAAAATCTAGAACTGATGGTGGAGATAGATGTTTCTCCAGAATCATACAAATAGAAATCTCATTGTTGGTTCTTATTAAAGAGATACCAGTGGAGTATTGGTTCTGTTAAAAACAATTGAAAATATTGGAGCCAGTATCATGTACTTTCTCTGTATTAGGTCCTGTGCTCAGGGCTGGAAATTTTAGAAAATCCTTAGCAAATGTTTGTCTTTTATTCTTTCTGTAATATTGTGATAGAATGAGATTCTCTGGGTAAAAGTAGAATAGTTATTAGGATTATAAACCCCATGTCTGGAATTAGATAAAGACACATAATTCAAGATCATATTGTCTGTTGTTTTGTATATCTAGCTATAAGCAGACTGTTTGCTTCCTCTCATAAACGAGCAACCTCTTCAGCTTATCTTTATGTGCTCTTTAGTTCTTTTCTTTGCATATAGTGATGTGAAATGATTGTCATTTTAGTTAATAATCCTGACCTGGTACTTTTATGTTTAATTGGGTTGATACCTTCTAATTCCTGCCAGTGTACATAAATTACTTTGTACATTGTAGGAGCTGGATTGAATGTTTAAAAATTTTTTATTTATTGATTTTAGAGAGGGGGGGAGGAGAAGCATCAATTTGTGTTCTATTTATTTATGCATTCTTTCGTTGATTCTTGTATGTTCCATGACTAGGGATTGAGCCTGCAACCTTGGCATATGGGGACAGTCCTCTAACGAACTGAGCTTACCCAGCCAGGGCTTGGAGAAGATCTTGAAGGAAAGTTGGTCCCCAGAACTCCCAAGTTTAAATAGGCAGTACCTTAGTTTATTAAGTGCTTTGGTCTCTATTTTCTCATTGGGTCTTCATAGCCTTTTAGTAAAAAAGAGAAGTCATGGACAGTGTACAAGGCACTTGAGATTATTGGAGACAGTACTGAAACCCATGAAAGATAGAATTAATTATTTGAGTTCTTTTGGCGTTCTTTCTTTGATTTGTCTCTCACAGTGACTTCTGAAGGTATCTGACATGTGTCTGCACCTGAAGTAACTTCTGGTTTTCTCACTAGGTTGATTTGCCAAGTTGTTTGTTTTCTATTCTTTCTCACTTAGATATTTTATGGAGAATTTATACTATAGTGGTACTCATGAATTTGGGGATTCTCAATGCTCTTAGAATGTAGCTAGTTTCAGGATGGTCTGATGTACATATACTGGTCCTATCTAAAGAAGAGGACCACTAAAAATGAATTCACTTAAAATGGGGACTAACTTCACCGGTTTGGCTCAGCGGTAGAGCGTCGGCCTGCGGACTGAGATGTCCTGGGTTCGATTCCGGTAAAGAACATGTGCATTGGTTGCGGGCACATCCCCAGTAGGGGGTGTGCAAGAGGCAGCTGATAATTTTTAGCATCCAGAAACATCTCATCGATGTTTCTAACTCTCCCTGTTCCTCTCTGTAAAAATCAATAATATATATATATATTTAAAAATGGGGACCAACGTCTCATAAATAGAGAAAGAATTATTTAGGATTTCATATTGAAAAGTAAAATTAAGAATTATAAAAATTTAAACCTTTATAAAAATTTTAGTTAGGATGGCAACTATGCTTTGTAATAAAAGGGTAATATGCAAATCTACCAAATGGTGGAATGACTAATTGCTTTGATACACACTGACTACTAGGGGGCAGCTGCTCAAAGCAGGAGCTGCTCCATGGTGGTCAGTGCGCTCCCACAGGGGGAGTGTTGCTCAGCCAGAAGCCGGGCTCATGGCGAGTGCAGCAGTGGTGGTTGGAGCCTCTCCCACCTCCGCAGCAGCGCTAAGGATTTCCGACGGATGGCTTAGGCCCGCTGCCCAGGCCGAAGCCATCAGTCGGACACCCCCTAAGGGCTACCGGACTGGGAGAGGGCACAGGCCAGGCTTAGGGACCTCCCCAAGTGCATGAATTTTGTGCACCAGGCATGTAGTTTCTTATGAGGGAAGAATCAAATTTTTAAAAATTTTGTCCAGTGAAATTGTACAATAAAAAGATGACATATGCACTTAAATTTTCTTTATTTTCTCATCATGATCATAAGGAAAATAAATTCTTTTTAAAAATATTTTTATTCATTTCAGAGAGGAAGGGAGAGGAAAAGAGAGATAGAAACATCAATGATGAGAGAATCATTGATTGGCTGCTTCCTGCACGCCCCCTACTGGGGGTGGAGCCCGCAACCCAGGCATGTGCCCTTGAACGGAATCAAATCTGGGACCCATTAGACCACAGGCTCTATCCACTGAGCCAAACCAGTCAGGATAGGAAAATAAATTCTTAGAAAAATATTTAAGGACTTAACAGTTTTAATGAGGTTTTCTTTTTAAAAATGTTTACTATGGAAAATTTTAAGCATATACCAAAGAAGAGAGAATAGTAGAAATGTCTGTGTACTCCACCCAGCTTCAAGAATTACTGCGCTGTCCAGTGTGGTGCAGTTGGTTGGAGAGTCATCCCTTATTCCAGAGCAGTGGTCACCAACCGTGAGGTCTGAAAGGTTAGCGACTGCTGCTCCAGAGGGTGGTGGTTCTGATTTCCAGTCAGGGCACACACCCAGGTTGAGGGTTCAATCCCCAGTGTGGTCTGGGTGCATGCAAGAGGCAACTAATGGATGTGTTTTTTTCTCACAGATTTTTTTTTCTCTCACAGATTTTTCCCCCCTCTCTCTTTCACCAATTATTATTATTATTATATTGTTTTAAAGAGAGGAAGAAAGAGAGCAAGGGGAGGGAGAGGAAGATACAGAAAGAGAAATATCAACTTGTTGTTCTATTTATTATGCATTCATTGGTTGATTTCCTGTGCCCAGACTGAGGATTGAGCCCACAATCTTGGCATATCAAGAGGACACACTGAACAAGCCGTCCAGGGATCGTTTTTATTTATATTGAATTAAAGAAACATGGCACAAAAAGATTTGTTTGTGGTTTTACCCCTTGTAATTGATTTGCACTGGTATACTCGTTAGGTGGAGATAAATACTATATATTGTCCATGGGGTGGATGTTTGAAAAATTAGATTTCTTTATTGCCATTTAAAAACAGGTATTTTGTTGTTTCAATAATATTTACCCTGTACCAATCTTAGGGATACAGAAAATATTCACAAACCACTCCATTTTAAGTTCTGTGCTATTGATGTTTGATGTTTGATTAGTTAAAGAAGATATGTGTAGAGATATGAAATCTAGAGTAGTCAAGGCTTTAAGGAAGAAATGGAACTTGAATTGACTTTGTCTGGGCTTGATTGGGTTTGGTTTAGAAGGGTACTTTGGGTGTGGAGAATTAGATGAACACAGTATTTTTAGAAGGTGTTTGTTGGATATTAATTGGGTAGGTTGAGGGTAGTCAGGTAATAGGGCATAGAAATCCAGACTCTGGCATTTTGTATTAATGTGATAGGAACTGGGAACCAGCTAGGGGTTTTAGTTGAGAAATGATATGAAATCTGTGTTTGGAAAACTTGGGCGGGGGAAGAATATAGACATGATTAGGATGTAGGGCCCTAACCGGTTTGGCTCAGTGGGTATAGCATCGGCCTGCGGACTGAAGGGTCCCAGGTTCAATTCCTGTCAAGGGCATGTACCTTGGTTGCGAGCATATCCCCAGTAGGGAGTGTGCAAGAGGCAGCTGATTGACGTTTCTTTCTGATCGATGTTTCTAACTCTCTATTCCTCTTCCTTCCTCTCTGTAAAAAATCAATAAAATATATTAAAAAAACAAAAAGATTAGAAGTAAGAGTCTGTTGTGATAGTAATTACATTAAAAAAAATTTATTGATTGATTTTTAGAGAGAGCAGAAGGGGGAGAGAGAGACATCGATCTGCTGTTCATTAATTTACTTATTTTTAATTAAAATTTTATTTTATTGATTTCAGGAAGGAAAAGAGAGAGACAAACATCAGTGAGAGAGATCTGCTGCCTCCCGCACACCCCAAATCGGGGATTGA